CATTGTGGTAAACTGTGGTCAATGACATGAGACAAAGTATATGTGAACTGCTGTATGGAAAGTGAATTTGCTCTGTAAATCTTCACCCAAATCACGAATCACAATCAATCAATCAATCAATCAATCAATAAAAACTCCCCAAATTTCATGAATCTACACATCCAAGGAGCTCAACAAACTCCAAGTAGGATAAACCCAAAGAGATTCACAATAAGACATCCCACCTGCCCTGCCCAACTAACCAAAATGTTACAAGAAGATGAGAGAAGGTTTAGAAAACAATTTCCAGGGATCATGGGGAGCCATTCCTAACTGTCTGGGCTAATGGTTGGGAGTAGGTGACCGGCTCACCCAAAAGAAAATACAGCAATGACGATATTTACAGTGAACTTCATGGTGCACACTCACTTACTATGAGCACTCACTTACTATCAGTTATCGATGTGGACTAATCCTTTGACTCTGGGGTGTGAGAACAGGCACAAAGGGCGTAAGGAACTTGCCCAGGCTCTCAGAGCCCACACTACCCAGCTCTGCATGTGCTTTTTCCTCTTGATTCATTCTCTTTCCCAGTTTTCAGAATATTCACTTTGCTCCCTAGAGACTCCAAAGGGGACCAAGGAGATGTAGATTCTTTTTAATATCACACAGATTCTAACACATTTGATGCTTTAGTCCCTGGTAGGCATGATTCTTCCAGTTGCACAAACTTCCCCATCTTGGCCAGCAGTGCCCCTGGAGGAGCTGAGCCTGTGGGCTGGACCCTCTTGCCCACAGCCCCAGAACAAAAGCCCTTATTCTCGGCTCCTCAATGATATTAGCTTTGAACTCGGTTTCCCACCGCTTGGTTCACACCAGGAAAGGGTACATGACAGGATGATAGAGCAGCTGTTATGGAGCAGAAGGAGATAGGCGGGTTGTCAGGGCTGCCCAAAGCAGGTCCGTGTGTGTGCATAGTGCCTCCCCCACACTGCTGGCATGTATTCTGAGACCACAGGCCCCCCAACTCGGAGGCTGGTGTGTACTGAAGCCCCTCACACATACCAGCCCTGTCCGACCAGCACTGCAACTTACTTCGATCCTCTGAGATAATCTGCACCAGCTCATAGTCATCTGGCTCATCCTCATCCAAGTTGTGTTTGTCCATGGCTTTGCGGATCACAGTAGGAGCCTTATCTTGGCTGGTCACCTGGAGGTGGGGTGAGACACAGGCCATCAAGGCAAGGGCCCTAAAGCTGGCTCCCCCAGTGTGGAGTGGCCTAGGACGCTAAAACAGACTCACAGCCTCTGCTCAGATGTGGTTGGGTGATAGGTCTATGGGAGCCTCCTGCACCCCTAATTCTTCTACCCTAGGGGAGACCTCCATGTAATGAGAAGGGGGCCCAACTGCTCCTTCTCCTACAAGAGCCTGCCACCATCCCCTAGGAGCCTCAGGAAATTGATTGACCCCCAAGGCACTCCATCCCTGCCCCCTACAAGTCTAGTCCCTCCAGGATAACAGGATCAATGACCCCATGGAACAGAAAGTATCCAGTCCAAGTCCTGCATGTGAGAGGAGGAGCTGGCCAGGGGCCTACTCCGTGACAGCCTCCTGGAAGAGTAGTGGTCAGCACAAGTGGGAACCCCCACTACTTTAACCCCCAGGACCAGAGCACAGGCAGGACTTAGACCAAGGGTCATACAAGTGACTGCTTACCTACAACTGCACTAGCTGGCTCCTGGTGTTCAGATGTGCATCTCAGGGTGAGTGTGTAATGGGTCATGTGACCCCAATTACATCCAGAACCTGACCACTGCCCCACTACGGCCACCACACTGTGTACCGGCCATCCTTCCTGACTTGCACTGCAACAGCTGCCTCCCAACTGGCCTCCCTGTGTCTTCCAGCACCAGCTCATTCCCCACAGGAGAGCCAAAGTCACCTGCTGTCTTTCCCCCACTCTGACTTCCAGTGGCTCCATCTAACTCTGGAAAGCCCACAGGGCCTGATCACCTAGCCCTCTGACACTTCTCTGGCCTCAAGTCTTCCTTTCTTTAAATTAATTTTTATTGTGATTTGAGTGAAATTTATAGTCAATTGATTTTCCAAACAGTAATTCATACATATTTTGTTTCGTGATTGATTACAATCCCCACAATGTAACAGCTCTCTTCCCACTTCCTCCCTGTGGTTACCATCTCTCCTGGCCCTTCCCTCCTACTCATTCCTGCCTTTTGAGCTTTATTTACCCCTAGGCAAATGCTGCCCTTCTGAGCTCTTGTTTGAGTGCACTAAGGGCACAGCTTCCTGGTGTTACTGTTCACCTCACAGGCTTGCCTATTGTTTGGCTGAAAGTTGAGCCCGAGGAGTAAGTTCATGTCCAGGCCTGGTGTGTAACTAAGGGCCACAGTCTTCGGGGTTCCACCAGTGTCTATCAGACTGGTGAGTCTGGTCTTTTTTATTACTTTGAGATCTGTTCCACATTTTTTCCCACTCTATCCAGGATCTACTATTGCAATCCCTTTCAGAGAAGGTGGCAGTGGTAGCAGGGCACCATATAGTTTCCTGGTCTCAGGGTCATGGAGGCTGAGGTTCACATGGTCCACTAGTCCCTTTGTCTAATTGTTTCCATGTATCTTTGATTTTCTTTATTCTTCTTTATTCCAAATAAGGAGAGACAAATAGTGACACCTTAGATGGCCGCTCACAAGCTTTTAAGACCCCAGTTGCTACTCACCAAAGTAGGATGGAGAACAATGTCTTTGTGGACGATGTTATGTCAATTGACCTTGATGTCTTCAGCAACTATGGTCCTGAGCGCATAGGCTCAGCAGCCCACTCCCTCAAGGTGTTTGACTATGGCTAAGAAGTTTTCCTATCTTTGCCCGACCTCAACTCTTAACCCTTGAACCTTGTTCCTTCACCTCTGGCTTCCTCGCTGCTCCAAATTCCAGGCACACTCACTCTTCAGAGCTTTGCAGCGCTGTTCCCTTCTTCCTTCTCCTCAGGGGGCTTCTCAATGAGGCCTCTCTGGCCATCCCATCTCAATGTTCAACCTCACCCTGACACCCACAGTCCTTAACCCCGATCACCATCAAACCCCCTGTCTCCTTTACTTCTGCACTGGCAGACGGCCTACCCTTCCCAGCCCAATGCAGTGTCAGCTCCCAGAGGGCAGGGAAAGTCGTGTCACTCGGTGTGTGTTACCGCCTGGCCAGGTCTGCGGACACCCCTCCCGTCTGCTCACCAGGATGCTCTTGTACATGTTGCCGTTGTCCACGTCCAGGCTGACACGGATGATGCAGCAGTCGCCCACCTGCTGATTATAGAGTGGCAGCGAGGAGTTGTAGTTGCAGACCCCTGAGACAGAACGCTTGTGGGTGCGTGTGGAGGCCACAGGTGTGGTGGAGGCCGAGGAGGACGAGGTACTACTGGAGGCTGAACTGACGCCGGAGGTCTCTGGGGATGACTGGGAGGCTGACTCCCAGAACTGTGGGAACAGGGAGATCAGCAGAAGCCCTGTATTCTGGAAGATATACTAGGCTGGTGTCCAGGTGAGGGAGTGGGGGGACGTTTCTAGAAGCTCTGTTCTAGAGCTGGGGCCTCTTGCCTCTTCTGTGGGTGTGGAGTGGGGTATGTGGCACTGGGAAGGAACAGCAAGGTCAAGGTGTCAGACATAAGGGGCAGACAGGATCACCTTCTTTTCCTGGCAGTCAGGGGACTCGGGCACAAAGCTCATGTTGATTTCTTCTACATCGGAGCTGGAGGAGCCAGCAGAGTGCACGCTGAGCACGTCGGCCGTGTCCCCACTGCTGAGGTAGGGGCCGCACTTGAGCTGGTCACAGGACTTGGAGTGGCAGCTGCCGCTGGTACTGAGCTCTGTGCTGGGAGCCTGGCGGCTGGATGGAAGGGCTGGCCTTATTGCCCACCCTCCCCCCGCTACCACTGCACTTAGCTCCAGATACAATTGCCAAGTGCTCAGTCAACAGTACCCCATAGCTCCAACCATTTGAGATCATTCAGCATCACCCCGTTTCACAGAGGAGAAAACTGAGGCCCAGAGAGATGAGGGGACTGACTCCAGTCACAGGGCTGGTTAGCAGTATAGCTGGATACCAGTGCTAGGCTGTGAATCCCTGAGCCAACGCTCAGCCCCAGGGCAAGCTGCCCCTGCCCACCCTGGTCAAGGTACTCACTCGCTCCAGCGCTTGACAATGGCCGTGTTCTTCTTGGCCTTGAGAGTGTTGGTGGCTGACTCAGATGGGGGTTCCAGTTCACACGACAGGTTGTAGCTAAGGGAAAGAGCGACAGCCGTGAGGCTTCCAGGAGTCACATCTCGGGTCTCCCTCCTGTGGCTCAGTGTCACTAGGCACCAGGCTCTGATGCTGACCAAGGGGCCATAGCCATAGGATCTCTGGAGCTGGCCACCAGGGAGAGCCCACTCCTGCCTTGTGCCAATGCCTGGGCTGGCCTTACCTCTCAGTCTCACTAAGCCGTTCCATGGCTCGGAACCAGGCCACAAAGTGCTCCTCGGGGGCGATGCTGTAATTGTTGCAGGCTGACTGGAGCAGCTTGATCTGGGCGATCACCTCGAATTCCTGCAGCCAGAGGGAAGGGCAATGTGCAAGGGCCTGGGGGGCAGGGCAGAGGGCCAGTCTCTGGGTCTTTGTTCAAATGCAACTGCCTCCTCCCATCCAGCCCCTACACAGTCTCAGGGGTAGGTTCAAACAGCCCCTCCTCCAGGATCTGTCCTTGATTCCAATCCCCCCAGTGGGTCAGTTCTCCCCTTTCTCTGTGCATCAAACTTTCCCTATAAATCTAAGAGGGAGGAGGATAGAACTGGGGAGTGTCCTGCCCAGGTGTCTCCAATTTCCACCCCAGACCCGACAGTGAGGGTTGCAGTGGCTTACCTTCCTCCTCTTCTCGAAGTTGATCATTCTCCCCTAGAAGGCAGACCACCATCATGCATCAGCAAGGGTCCCCTAGGCCTTCACCAGTGACTCACACCCCCTCTCATGCTGCACTACTGTGGGGGCCCACAAGGGGGCATGCGTTCACACATATTGAACTGGGACCTAGGCCTAGTTCAGGGACCTTCTAGTCCAACCCTCTCTGATGACAGATGGAGAGTGAGGCCTTAGGCAGGAAGGCATGGCCAGGCCACTCACGTGCTGCCTGACCTCAAGAGACCAACCTCACTCTCCTGCCCAGGCCCCCCACCTGAAGGGAGTGGTGTGTCAAGCTCAGTCAAAACTCCCCATGCAGCTTTGCAGGAAGACTATTTTGCTGCTTCCCTGACCAAGTCACTAGGACTGGTAGCTTATGCCAAGCCTCTGTTTACTCATTAGTAAGATGGACTTGACACCCCCAGCCTAAGGGCACCATGCCAAATGCTAAGAGCTCAGGGCTCAGCGACGGGGGCCTGTTCTTGCCAAGCCTCAGGATCCATGTCCCACCCTGGCCTCTGGCTCACTCACATACAGATAATCCTTCATCGCAGTGTCCAGCATCACCAGGTCAGTGAGGAATGTGCCAAGGTAGGGAACGGTGCCCTGGATGACACCCTGCGACATTGAGGTGGGGTGAAGATGAGCACATACTCTCAGTGCACTTGAAGACCCCTCCCTGGAAGACTCTTAGCCCCTCCACTCCAAGCTTCCACTTAAAGCAGCTTAGGGACCCTTAGCTGCCTCCTACCATGTCTCCTTCCTGGCCTCCATAGGCTCCAATCTCCCTCTAGTCACCTCCTAGGGCCAACTTTTGACATATCACAAAGGTTGTATGGTCTGGGCCCCTCCCCATCCCCAAGTCCACGCTGAGCACAGCTCTTTCAGGCCCTGGCTCTGGCTGCCTGGTAACTTGTCCCTCTAAGATCCTAGCTGGTCAAGGCCTTGCCCTCTCAGGACCTATAGGAGGTCTTGTCCAGCAAAGCCATTTTAAGCACTGTGGCCACAGGAGGGAAAGCTCCCACCCACCCACTCCCACCCACCCACTCTCATCCCTACTCTCCCTAGCCCTGCATACTCACCAACTCCCTCTGCCGCTTTTGGGCTCTCCTGGGGTTCATCTCCAAGGTGGCAAACTTGGAGGTCCCCTCCTGCAGGGCCAGAAGTGAGATGAGTGAGACCATCCTCCCCTCACCCATTCCCTTCCAATGCTCTGACCTTGGGTCCTGGACAACTGAGTCAGCTGGTTCAAGAACTATTGCCACTTCCAGTGGGCTCTAATTTTAGATACAAATCCCAACTCCAAACCTCTCTTAGTGTATGACCTTGGGTAAGTGGCCTGGCCTCTCTCTCAGCCTGTTTCCTCATCTGAAAAGTACAGACGGAAACTTCACCTACCTCGCAAGGTCTTGGAAGACTTAAGGTTCTATCACTACTATTATTGTTCTCACCATCACCCTTTCCTTGGCAAACCCTCCACAAAGCTCAGGCACATTCCTTTTCTCCCCTGATCCTCATTACCACCTGGCGAGGTTGGCACCACACGATCGTCATCCCTTCATTTTCCAGATAAGGAAACAGCCCCAGATAGGGGCAGAAACTTATCCAGGGTCCACAGGGAGTCAGGGGAGAGTCGAGCTCCTCCCTCCCAGCCAGAGGCCCTGTCCCAGCTGCCACCTTGCCACCCCCACCTCTGACCAGAAGGCCTCACATTGAGCAGCCTGCCCCATCCCTTTTGGAGTCTCTGCCCCCAGGCCATGCCAAGGCTTCATCTCTCCAAGGAGCCCCTCAGGAAGCTCCCCCGGCAGAGGGCTCTGTTTCACATCCACACAAGAGGAGTCTGCCAGCAGCACTGGGTAGCTATTCTTTTCCTCCTCTTTTATGTGGAAACTTCTCAGATATGGTCATTAGTGCCCCCAGATACCCGTCATAAGCCATTTAGGACATATGAGCTTGTGACCATGTCTTTGCCAGCGAGAGAGTGTGATGAGGATCCTGAGGCCGTGCCTGATGGGCAATGTCTGCTCTAGGGATAAGGTGTGTGTGTGGCGGGGGCGGCTGGTCAAAGAATGCAGGCACACCTGCCTCCCTGGTCTAGCTACCTGGACCCAAGGCTGGGCAGCCCCTTTGGCTGCTTGGTCCATGGGGATCCCCCTGCAGTCCCATCCAGGGTGACCTTCCCTACAGTGCAGACAGAAGGAGCAATAGGGATCAGGCTTCCTGAGGACAGATGAGCTCGTTTGGAGAAGGACAGGCCACATTCCCCAGCCCAATAGCCTGGAGGAAGCTCAGTCCAAGCAGGAGAGGCCAGCATGGAAGCCAGAGAGCTGCTAAGTCTACCATTTCATCAACCTCTCCACTATATCCAATTACCAGGGGCCTCCTGCCTCCCCAACTGCCCTTCACATGCCCATGGACCAAATAGATCCCGCTTCCTCTGAGGCTAGACAAAACAAGGCTGGAAGTTTCCAAAGTAACTTTCAGGGACAAACTAACAATGCCCCCACCTGCCTTCCCCATGCACTGAGCCCCCACCCCGGCCTCCCCTTTACCTTGATGAGCAGCTCTCGGCTCAGTGAGTAGTTGTTCTCATCTGAGAAGATCTCAGACAGCTTTTGAAAGATTCGTAAGCTTTCCCTGTGGGGACAGCAAAGAAGGAAGGAGGAAGATGGTGGGGAGAGGTACCAGTACAAGTCCATCATATTTAAGAACCTAAAGGATCCAGAGTACCTGGATAAGTGGTTTTCAAACTGGGTTCCTCTGAACCCTAAGGGTGCCATGGGGCTGGGGAGGTGAGTGCTCATGATGCTGTAACTGGAGTCCCCCATTACCAATTCACCTGTGCAGTTCTGCTTTGACTAGTTCTGATTTCAGGTGGACAGAGAGTTGGGTTGGGCAGAAGTGAAAAAACCAGAAAATCATCTGTTTGGCTCAATCCTGTATCTGACTGATCTGAAAACCCAGGCCTGAGGCAGAAGGTCATATGGAGACTTGAAGACTTCGCCCAGCAGTCCTCTCTCTGTCCCCGGGGCTGGCTAGCCCCACAGCAGGTCCTGGTTTATTGGGGGTAGTCCAATGCTCAGCCCTATGGGAGGTCCTGGGCCCAATCTGTTATTCCTACACGAGGAGGCCTACCCACCTGGAAACTTCTTCCCACGTCTTCTTCAGTCGGTGTATTGAATTGCTCTGTAGAGCAGAAAGGACAGCATGGAGAGATGAGAAGTTCTTGAGGATTCGACACTCCTGGGGGAGGGGAAAGAATGAGCCGGAGCTCCAGCTCCAGCTTCCTCCAAGTCAGCTGACATCTCCCCTCCAGGCCAGACAGATACCAGTAGGCCCCACAGGGCACACTTTGCACCCAATGTATAATCACACTCAAGGAAGAGGATTTAAGCTCCACCTAAGGAAGGAGCTTGGAGCCCAGGTGGTGAAAGTGGTTAGGGATCGGCTGCTAACCTACAGGTTTGAACCCACCCATCAGCTCAGCTCCTTAGAAGAAAGACCCAGCTTACACCACAGACTGTGATCTTGGGAGCTGATCAAAGCAAAGAAGGAGTGAACAGGTCTAGGGAGGGGGTCCCCTGGGTCCCCCCCGACAGCATACCCTGGCCACCTCAATCCAGTGCTCCACCACCCTGGCCCTGTCCGGGGCCTTCATGTTCCGGTCCCCCAGGCAGGTAGTGATGACACAGTTGGCCACACTGTTAAACTGGGTGACAGTGGCACGGATGGTAGGTGCCAGGTGCTCCTTGCCCTTCTTGTCCCTCTGGGACCAGATGGAACCCAGACAGTGATAGGGCACCACCTTCTTGAACAGCTCCTGGGGAGGACAGAGAGTGTCACTGGCCCTGCCCACCCCAGTGCAGCCTGCAGTCCCCTTTAGTCCCAGGCTGGGGCCCAGTGGTCTGATCTGGAGCTCAGGAAGGTGAGGATGTGGCTCAAGCCTTATGAAAGTCTCTAGGTTTTGTTTTCTGCCCCAAGAGAGCCCAGCACACAAGAGACCCAGAACCCAATGATGGCAAGAAGGGAGAAGCATTTCCACTCAGCCCATTCTCACTAATCAAGCACCAAAAGGCAACACCTTCCACCCATCCTGATGACTTGTCAGTCTCTTGTTCAGATGCACATTCCCTGTGGGCACTACAACTAAAGGCTTTGTTTGAAGGTGTGCCTGCGTCTAGTACACATCAGGTACCTAATAAATGTGGAGGCTGGTGAGGCTTGGGAAGATGGGTGGGTGACCCATGGGCCCTAGTTGCACATCAGTGAGCACCTCTCTGCCTTGTAATGGGCCAGGGCTCCACCAAGCTTTCTCTTTATTCTGTCTCATTCAATCTTCACAGTACTCTGTGCATCACAGTTGTGTCCAGTCTCTACACTCCAAAAGTAGAAAGCAAGACTTTGAAGGTTAAGAAACTTTCCCAGGTCACCCAACTGGTAAGTGGTAGAGTTGCATCTGAACCCAGATCATCAGACTCCAGATCAGAGAATGGAAGGTGTGGAGCAGCAGAATCCAGAAGGAAGCCCACCCTGTGGAGCCCAGCTGCTCACCGCATCCATCAGTGTAAACTGCTCTGCCACCAGCTCTGGAGGGAAAGCGAGGAGGTTAGGCTTCTCCTCACTCAGGTCGTTCTCTGTTGTCACAGGGGATGGGCAAGAAGGCTCTGGTGCTGAGGCTGGTGCTGGTTCTAGCTCTGAAACTGGGAATGAAGGTGGAGCTGGAACTGGAGCTGGAACTGGAGCTGCAGGAGGCTCTAGCTCTAGAACTGGCACTGGCTCTAACTCCGGACTTGGACCTGGTGCTAGGGCTGGTTCTATTTCTGGAGCTGGTACGGAAGCTGGCACTAGCTCTGGAGCTGGAGGCAGAGCTGGCACTGGAGACGAAAGAGAAGAAATTTTCATCAATAGGACAGCCTTTCCTTGTGACTTTTCAAAGGCAGAAAACACCCCACTGCCATTCAGAGAAGCCCAGGCCCGTGAACTCCACCCCGGGCAATCTTCCCAGTCTGCAGTCTACCAGATGAGTGGTCTGAGGTTACTCGAAGTTCTGGTCAACACCAGCCTCGGGGAGAGCCTTCCTGTGTGCTGGCTCCGTGTCTCGCCTCATGTGTGCACATGCCATGCTCATGCTCAGGGCTCCTCACCTTCTGGTTCTGGCTCAGGGGGCTCCAAGTGCTCCAGCTGGGCAAGGAGAAGGTCAGCACGGCGCTCCAGGTCTGAGCCGGGCATGTTGAGCTGCACGTAGGCCACCAGCTGTTTGAGGCATGGAAAGTCCGGGGGCTGACAGAAATCTTCCGAGTACTGGTCCAGCCAGGTGCCCAGGATGGAGGAGATGGCACTGGGGGGTAGGTGAGCAGGCAGCAATGTCAGAGGCCTGGTCTTTCCTTCCATGCAGCCCTCCCACAACACCCCCTGTAGAGGGCTAGGCCCCTGTGCCTGCCCCTGCCCTGTAAAGGCTAGCCCCATGCCACTTCCCACTCCTACTCTGGCTGTCTGGGCAGTAGCAGTCCTGGTCCCTGGGCAGGGGGCTAGCAAAGAGCTTCAATCCCTTGACTGAGCTCATGCTCAATGGTCTGATCAACTCTTCCCTGAGGGAAGCCTGACATACTTCCCTGTCTGTCTCCCCTGGCTCCCTGCCACTGGAAAGTAACTCCATGAAGGAGGGGAGGGGTAGTGTCTGCTTATTCACTACAGTGTGCTGGCACATAGTAGGTGCTTCATGAGTATCTGACAAATGAGAGAACAGAGTCTGACCTTGCCTCAGCCTTCCCAGGGCCCTTTTGACACCCAAACTTGCAGCTTGTGGGCCAACCTGCCGAATCATGTTTTGTGTACATGTATGGGTCTCTTTCCCCCTGACACTATTCTCCCAAAGGGCAGGAGGGAAGACACCCTAGCCCTACAGGCAACTGAGTGCCACAACTGAGGTTCATGACATTTGGAAGCAGGTTGCTCATCATGCCTCCTGTTCTAGGACCTGGGATTGGAGAGGCGCATAAGCAGAGCAGGGATGGGACTTTTGTGGGGAGGGGTCCTCTCAGGATCTGAGCCTCCACCTTCCCTGTGCTCCCCATGATACTAGGGCTCCATCCACAATTCTCTTGGACTGTTTTCCTCCTTCTAGGGGAAGTCTCCAGAATTCATTCCTTTACGGGGAATCCTAAGATGTGGGACCCAGGGTTTTGTCCAGCCCTCCCCACGCACAGACTCCCACTCTTCTGTGGAGACAGGGGTCCCTCTCCTCCCACACCCAAAGTCTACTCACTTTTTAAGTTGGTCCTCAGGTCCACCGTCCTCATTGGAATATGGGAGGATGCATCCGTATCTAGAGGAGGCCGTGAGGGCGTCACATCTACCGTACCTGCTTACGATGTCTAGTGTTACTGTCTGACTCCCCGACTAGAATGGAAGCCCAGGAGGGCAGGGATTTTGGTCTGCATAATATATAATTGTTGAATGAATTAAACCAATCAGCACCTTCCCCAATATTGGAGCGGGGCTGAGGCCTCTCTGCCAGCCCTCAGGGATCCCTGCTCTGGCTACACCAAGAACAGGGACCCACTAGATGGAATCTCAAACCTTCTTTATAATTGGGAAGATAGGTTTGTCCAAGGCCATAGGGTAGTGAGGGTGAAGCAGAGAGCTTGTTTGTGGGGGAAAGGGAAATAAGAAACATGAACGACCCCAGCCCCTCTAACAGCCTTTTCCACAATCCAGGTTCTGAGTAAGCACTTGCCATGGCTTATCCCATTTAGTCTTTATGATAACCTGAGGAAGTTGGTCTTCTTACCTAATTTTTAGTGAGCAGAGATGAAGTGACATTCCCAAGACACAGAGCTAGTAAGTGGGTAGAGTAGCCACTGTGTGGTGGAGGGCCCAAGGCGCTCACCTTTTGAACAGCAAGTCCAGGACCTGTTGGGTGGTGGCGAAGGCTCGGTAGGTGCACAGGAAGATGGTGACATAGGAGAGGTCACTGCCCTGGAAGGCAGGCACCAGGTGCTCCACCAGCTTCTCCAGCGTGCCTGCCTTGACTGCCCGCACCTTGCAGGTCTCATACAGGTTCAAGGCTGACTCATTTTCATACTAAGAGTGGGACAAAGGAGGGGTATAGTCAGTGGCAGCACCATGGACCACCAGGAGGGTCAGGGACTGGAGCTCAGACCAGGAATCGCCAGGTTCTCAGTGACTTATGGCATGAGGAGGGACATAAGTGCTACCAGCAGAAAAAGGTACTTGGCTTTCAAAGTAGAATTTGAGGTGAGGGCATGATGGAAATATTAGTACTTTCAAGTCATTCTGTTAGCTGAGTAACCATAGTACTTCTGTGTATTAAGAGACTGTTAATAGCATTATCCCAAGGAGTCCTCATAAAACATCCTCACTATAGATGAGAAAACAGACATTTAGGGATGTCAAGTGGCTGCTGATGCTCACACAGGTCAAAGCCCACAGCCATCCAATGCTAACGTTGTGGGACATACCCTCTCTGCTAGGTGAGACCATGGAGGGGAAGGGTCTGGGCCAGTTGCCGTCTCTCCTCAGTGTGAAGACAGAGCACAGAGCAAACACACCTATGAGACCCCTTTGAATTACAAAGCAACGCACTTATTTTTCTTTCTGTTACATTCCAGAGACTTTCAAGACCTGAGGCCATGGTGATCCTTCAAAGGGGCAAACGTGTGGAAAGTCCAGGGTAGGGCTAAGGATACGAATAGACAACTCAGCAGAGAAAATCCAAAAGACCACTAAACAAAGGACAGGTGGCTCGACTTCCAGTGGAGCAACTATAAATCAAAGCAGCACTGTGATTCCACTGGCCACCCTGATATTGGATTGGTGAATATTAGAAAGAATGATGATACCTGGGGCTAGGTAGGATGCAGGGAAGCATTCACTGTCATAGCTAACTGCTGGTAGCCATGTAACTGCTATAGTTATTCTGGAAAGTAGTCTGGCTTGAGCTATTATTATAATATTAAGTATACATATTCTTCCACCCAGCATTCCCATTCCTGGGACTCTATCCTAGGTGAGGGATCAGCATATTAAGTCAGTCTGTATTATCAGCACTGCTGAAATGCCAACAGAAAGGAATCAGGTTTAGGTCTGAAAGCAGTGAAAGGCTGAATCACTATGCTAACTGGCCTCTCTTCTAGAATATTCTGCAGCCAAGTCAGGCTACAACTCCTGACCTAGAGGGGTCACAGTGATGTGTCCCATGAGACTATAAGTTGCAGAGAAGCATATATTATGGCATGAATCCCCACTCATCTTGAATATACACAAGCTTTCTAAGTATGATGATATAATTATAAGGCTTGGTGGCATAGTGCCTAAGGCATTTGACTGCTAACCAGAAGGCTGGCGGTTCAAGCCCACCAGCCACTCCTCGGAAGGAAGATCGGGCAATCTACTTCCCAAGGAGGGGATGCTATGAGTCGGATCTAACTTGACAGCAGTGAATTTGGTTTGGTTTGGTTTTTGTAGAAGGTATGGAAGGTGAAGCAGACTGCTACGTGGGATACCTGGGGTCAGGGAGTTAAAACACTAAAAACAGTAGCAACATGCAAAAATGCTCATGGCTTAACATGAAGTGGAAACAGTATAAAAGTCTCTTTCTAATGTACCTACAAATATGGGAAAAGTGGCTTTGTACCCGGCCAACACTGAGGCTTGGTGGCGGACATGGGGTAGGAGGGTAGGGGTGGTGGCCAGATCCCTTTGAGAGGGACTGTGGGCCATTCAAAAGGGAAAGCCGAGGAAGGGCGCCTAGGGGAATCACCAGGGCAGCGTCTGGGCCCTGGGACCCTCTCTAGCCATTTGGGGGCCCTGGGTATAGAGAGTCTGCTGTGCCCACACTCACCCCGAGCCAGCGCTGGCCTTTGTTGGCAGCATGATGCACCGGCCCCTTGCGCAGGGAGATGGTGTAGATGACTCCGTTGACCAGCTCCTCGCCGATCTCCTGTGTGGAGCTCTGCAAAGACAGTGCCCGGCAGCCGGGGCAGGAGGCATCAAAGGCCTGCCTGTACGTTGCCCCAGGGTGACATGCCCACACAACTTCTGCATCCCAGAGGAGGCACAAACAAGAGTCCAGCCTGGGAAGAAATGAGCTGACAGCTTGAGAGTTCAGAATTATCAACGCCGGCAGACCAGCGTTGCCCCAGTACCCGCCTCCCCACCGTGGGGTGTGAAATCACTATCTTGCCATTTCACAAATGGGTATATGGAAGCTGAGAGACCAGCAACCTGTCCAAGGTCATGCTGCCAAGGGTAAATGGTGAATGAAGCCAGAATCCAAGGCCCTGAAACAGCCAACTGCACCCAGTAGGCTATGGCCCCAAAGAGACAGTGCTTCCCCAGGACGAGAGGCCCCATGCCCATCCTTACATTCATTCCCACATCTGCCCAGCCTCAAGGGCCTCCAGGCTGACGCAGCAGAAGAGAGCAGCTCCTCCTAGTCACCCGACAATAGCCCTGGAGTCAGCATCACGGGTTATGGTGCAGGTGAAGGGTATCCCTGGACAGCTGCAACTGAGGCCACTTCCTTCCCCTTCTGCTCATTCATGCCCTTGGGCCCACTTAGGCAACAAAGGAGTTCCCAGTTCACTGTCACCACGTGCATGGGGCAAGTTACGAAATGTGACAGTACTGAGGTCTGTGCTGTAAGGCTGGGGCTTCCAAAGAACCCCAAGATCACAGGGCCTTGACTAGAACAACAGGGGAGCTGGGGGCAGTTCTCAGGCTATTATCCGGATCCCTCAGCCAAAAGAAAAGACCCTTGTTTTAGCAGACAATGCTTCCTCCTTCTGGGCAGACTGGGGGCTGCACTGTCAAGTCCTGTCCAAGTCCACAGAAACATGGCTGCCCTGGGCTTTACAGCCTCTCTCCCACTATTCTCTGTCCAGGGAAGAGGAGAAATTGCAGCAGAGAGGAAGGAGCTCAGGAGGCAGAGGCAAAGATATCGACCTCTGAAAGCTGCAGGGAAGAATTCAGGGAAGTGTTTGGTTGGCACAGGGTCATCAACGGCACAGTCAGTACCAACAGCTAGGATGGGGGGTAAGCCCCCAGCACAGGGTGAGTGTGGAACTCAGAGAAGCCCTAGGTGAAAGTGTGGACTCAGCCTGGGACCCACTGGTGGTCCCTTCCATAAAGCCTAAGTTGGGCCTTCTAGGGGGGACCCAGGTGCCCAGCGTCCTGTGGGCTGTACCCCACCCCCACCCCCATCTCGAAGTCAGCACCACTGGGGTCAGAGTTCAGGGGCCTGGACCCTCTCACCTCCTGCCCACCCCTCAGAGAGCTCAGGGAGGTCGGGAGCCTTCCTCCGGATGTCATGCCCTGACACAAAGCCGCCCTCCCACTCTGGGCTTCTTACCAACAGGAAAGCTGCTGAAATAACACTCGACTCCTGACCCTCTGCCTCTCCAGGAGAGGGAACCAGGCCCGTTTCTTGGAAGTCAGCGGGGAAACCACAGGCAGAGATGTCCTGAGCAACACCCCTCACACTCACACACGCCTTGCAACCCACACTTGGTACAGATCCAACCCCTCCACCGAGGATGGGAAATTCCTACTTTTGAAGCAGAAAAACCAAAACAGATGCTTCTTTCCTTTTCCTGCCTCACACAAGCCACCTCTGCCTAGAAAATCACCCCTCAGAGAGACAGGCCTTGGTGACATCTGGAGGCTACTGTCCACCCTTTAGACCAGGGTCCCCAACTGCCCCAGCATTTTCTCCACGATTGGGGCTTGCCTTCTGCAAAGGCCTAAGGGTCTCTGCCCTCTCTTTCAAGGCTTTTAGCCCATTCAGCCCAGTTGCCAGGTCTCTGAGTAGCATAAACAGTTTGTGCTCGACTATGAACCACAAGATTGGTAGTTTGAACCCACCTAGCAGTGCCAAGGAAGAAAAGCCTGTCAATCTGCTTCTGTAAAGATCACAGCCAAGCAAACCATGTGGAACAGTTCTACTCTGTAACACACAGGGTCATCATGAGTGAGGATCAACTTGGTGACAATGTGTTTGGGTGTTCTGGCCCAGCTAGGAGTCAGACAATATCCCAGGAGCAGTTTGGGGGACCCACATACCATAGGGCACCTGCACTCGATCCCTCAGGAGCCTGCCACAGCCCCTGGCTCCCAGCAAGACTCCATCAATGTCGCCAGACAGAAGTATTTCTTGGGCCCAGCCACACGAGCTGACTCACAGGAGGGGCTGGGGCCAGTGGCCTTGGCCATCCCAAAGCAGGTCTAAGTAGCAGCCTGTCAGGGAGCCATAGCCTCCAGCTTGCAGCTGAGCAGCTGACCCAGCCCTGTATGGCTGCCATGTGATCCCCATGCCCCCCCGCCCCTCGCCTGTGGCCCCCTCTGCCAGCCTGGCGGGGGGCAGGGAGGGACACTGAGAGTCACACATGCCTGGGACGGGAGAGCTTGGACTGGCATCACCACCCTGTCTCACAGATGGGGAGCTGCTCCCGGCGGTGTGGAGCTAACTCTGTTCTCTCTGGTTCCTCCATGCAACCACAGCAGCACAGCAACAAAAACAGACCGTGACGGCAATGCTGAGTGCAGGCACCACTGGCACCGTCTTACAGAGAGGACAGAGGCACTTGGCTCTAAAGCCAAGTGGTCCTAGACCCCAATGGCAGGAAGTGACAACACAGGGCATCTATACCCTGCTGTAATTCTCCCTCCAGGGACAGAGAAGGAGCAGCGAACAGGCCTGGCTTCTGCATCCAGGAACTTCTGAGATGGGACAGACAGGGCCCTGGTGCCTGGAGGGCAATCCTGGCCACTGGCCCACCCCCTCTGTTAGCCGACAGTGAGCAAGCACAGAAGCAGGTAACCCATCTGGGCAACCCCAAGCCCTCCAGGGACGCTCTGGCAGTGCTGGGGGTTCTGAAGGGAGGAGTGGGGTGGCCTAATAAATAGCTGATGTAGAGAAAATGCCTTCCCACTGAGGGGGTATCCACAGCAGCCGCTGCTCTGAGCTGACTGTTGGGGAAGGAATGTTACATGGTTAGCTGTGTCCTTAGGGGATGGATCCTCCTGTCCCACCCCCACTGATGTCCCCAGGGCCCTGGACCCACTCAGCAGCCATGTCTTGAACACATTGTCTTCCCTTCTACATTCTGGTCAAGAAAAGTCTGGGGTCCAGTCTCCCCAGGGCCCTGATGAGGAGGGGCTGGCAGAATGGGTCCAAGGGGTGCCCTCACACACTGCTGTCCCTTGGAGCACAGCCAGAATCTGAGGACAAGGAGGGGAAACAGGGCCTGGGTGGTATCTGGTTAGCATGTCACCAGACACCCTTCTCACAGTGACAGACCAGCAGGTAGGCTGTGTCTCTGGTAGACAGAAAGAAGAAGCTGCAGGCCAAGACCGGGTCCCCTCAAAGTAGAACAATGGGGACCAGCAGGGGCCCGATTCCATCCCTTATTTTGGGCTAGGCCTGTGGTGACCTACAGTGCCTCTCCCTAGCCCTGCCATCTCCCCAAGGCAAGCCCCATGCAGGGCCTCCAGATCCACAGGCTCCCCCAGCTAGGGCTAGCTCTTCCTAAAGAGACCTGCTGAGAGCAGGAGCAGAGGGAGGGGGAGAACAATCCTGCCCTCCCAGGGCCACACGTGCAGAGGCTGGCCTTCAGATGAGTGGGCAGGGATCAAACCGCAGGGCCTCCATGTGCATGACATCACCAGCTCAGGGACCTCGTCACACCCCTGGGCGGCTGCCCAAGTCCACTGAGTCACCCAGAGGTCAGCCTGGGGCCCTCACCTAGCCACTGCCAGCACCAGGTCCTCCCAGGGCCCCAGCACCCCACAGCTTTGGACAGACAAGGCCCCTCCCCAGGGCCCACAAGTCCTCATGGAGGGCTCTCCAGAGCCCCTCAGCCTCAGCCAGCTCACCTGTGAAATGGGGAGAAGAGCAGCAGCTATAGGTAGGCTGTGTCCCTGGTAGACAGAAGGAGGAAGCTGCAGACCAAGGCTGGGTCCCCTCAAAGTAGAACGATTGGGACCAGCAGGGGCCTGATTCCATCCCTTATTTCGGGCTAGGCCTGTGGTGACCTACTGCGTCTCTCCCTAGCCCTGCCATCTCCCCAAGACGAGCCCCCATGCAGGACCCACAAAAGCCCTCACAGAGGGCTCTCCAGAGCCTCTTAGCCTTGGCCTCAGTGAGCTCATCTATGAAATGGGGAGAAGAGCAGCAGCTCTCTTAAGAGAGCAACTGGGAGAGGTCATGGGAGAGAACGCAGGCAGCTTGCCCAGCTTGGTGCTCAGTGCACAATAAAGGCCAGTAAGTGGGTGGGACCTGATGATGTCATCATTGTTACGTAACAGCTGACATGCCCCAGCCCCCAGGAGCAGAGAACCAACCCTGATCAGGGAACCTGTCTGAAACCTGCCAGGAGGCTCTAGGAGCCCAGAGGAACACCACTTGAGAGGGCAGGTCTTCCTACTGCACTGTGGGTGGGCAGTGAGGCCAGCAGCTTTCTGACCTTGTAGCCTTATGCTCAAATGCAGAAGCCAAAACATGAAACAGATTGGAGAGAATGGCTCATCCTCTATAGAATCCCAGACTCCCAGAGCAGAGTTTGGGTCCTATGGATGTCGGGCAACCTCCCCATTTTACAGAGGCAGAAACTGAGGCTGAGGGGTGAGAGTCAAGTAGAGGGTGTCCAAGCTGAAGTGGGAATCTAGGATTTCTCTAGTCCAAGTCTGGTTCTTCCCTAGACCTCATTTTTCCATAAGAATGATCCCCGGTGTGCAGCAGGGTCCCTCCAGCCCCAGGAGGGTGTCCTGCAGCCTGAGCTTAAGGGCACAGCCAAGACCCCAAGAATAAAAGAGCAGCCTTAGATGGAGAAAGATCACACTGCTGGTCCCCAGACATCAGGACCCACAGAGGCAGCCTCAGCCAGGAGAGGTACAAGGTTCCAGGGAGCTTGGGAACCAGCCTTGGTTGAGCCCCCAACAAGGTCAACCATCTCC